AAACAGCCACCAGTAACAAGCATTATGACCCACTAAAATATGATACACATTAATAGTTTATCAATAAAAAGAAATATTGTTTTCAGTGTCAGTGAAGCCTCACTGACAAATAGCTAAAATCAGGATGTTGATCATATGGAAACAACTTCTTCGGCACCAAGAGTTTCCAATGCCCTCAATGCTGAATCTGAAAGCCGACTACTCACAGTTCACACAGGCCTCTTCAGAAAATGACAATAATAATAAAGTAGCATTTACTGCCATCTGCATAAAGATTGAAAACTTCTAATACACGAGAGAGACACTTCCTCACGGAGAACTAGGCTTTCAGGAACATGACAGATATGACATCCATCCTTCTTAATGGGATGTCTAATTAGCAGTGACTGAGGAAACTGAAGGGCTTTGATGAATGAAGATAAAACATGAAGTGACAAACTACTAAAGAGCATAGTGTGATTTAGCTCAACATTCATAAAAGTTATCCAAATCAATTCAGTATACAAAATAAAGGACCTTGACTTAATACCACAGTCTTAAGATATTAATTGCTGGGAAAAGTCACCAGGTTCAGGAAGTTCACTAGGAATACTAGAGAGTCATCTTACAGAACCTGCATTTTATTCAATGCATTAAAAAACTGAGGTGGTTTCTCTCCCTCTCCTCATTGTGCATGCTTACAAGAACTTTAAGTGAACTAATCTAACATTATGTTTTCTATTTAATTTAAACTGTAAGTAATTAAATTCAACAATTGAGATTTCCTGCTAGTTTTTTTAAAGAAATTCTCTGTTGCACCTTATAAAACCAAGGGACATGTTAATGACAGTGATGTCTGGGATGGGTTGCTTGTCAGTAGAATTGCCTCGTTGGGGTTTGGGGCTTGACGTGGTTTGGGGGTTGCAGACCTAGGGGAAGGTTAATGATACTGAAGAATGCAAAATTTAGATATCAAAAGGACCTTTGCCCAAGATAAGAAGAAACTAACAAAGCCAACTCATCAACTGTACTGAAATCAACTCAGACTCCCCCCATCAGGGGGAGATCATGACCACCAATTGACCCCCGAATCAAATGAAAGAGCCCTGAGTATGCACAGTAGCTAATAATGAATTACAAAATACCTTGTGCAATCAGTCCTTTTATGAGTAACCAATAGCAGAGTAGTAAACATTGAATATATATATTAGATAGGTGGAATATATTAAATTACCATCATATAAAAAGGAATTCCTCTCTCATAATGCTAGTTCATAGCACAGCCCTATACTTTGTTCTGCAATCACTGAAGAGCCTATAGGTGCCAGATACATCATCCTCACTCCCCAGTAAGTCATAAACCTTTTTTTTTAATTCAAGTCAGCAGTAGGGTGCTGCACAATTAATTATAGTGGAACAGCGTTATCAAATGAACTTCCTATAAAGTTGAAATGATCACCTGATCAAATTTACCACTTCCAAAAATCTCTTGGAGTGCTCTGACAAATCAGATTTTATGGATTAGACTTCAGCAGATTAGGGAAAAAGTATAAGGCTGACAAACATGACTGATTTGGATAAGATGAAGGAAAATTTATACTTTTATTTGAAAATATCATAATGCTGAAATAGAAAAAGGAGATGTTCTATGATTTATAAAGCATATATACACATGTACATGTATATATGTCTATATATTCTGTCTAAGTAAAGTTCAGGTTCATGATCACCTGAGGAACCTGAATGTACATAAGTCTATGGGACCTGATGAGATACATCCCAGAGGCCTGAGGGAATTGGCTGATGTAGTTGTCAAGCCAGTCTTCATGATATTTGAAAAGTTGTGGCAGTCAGAGGAAGTCCCAGGTGACTGGAAAAAGGGAAACATCCCTTGAAGTGTTCAAGACCCGGTTGGATGTGGTCCTGTGTAGTGGGTTTCTGTGGCTGGGTTTTGGTAGCGGGGGGGCACTACAGGGGTGGCTTCTGTTAGAAGCTGCTAGAAGTTTTCCCTGTCCTGTGGAGCCAATGCCAGCTGGCTCCAGGATGGGCTTCCTGCCACTGGCCAAGGCCAAGGCAATCAGAAGTAATAGTAACACCTCTGTGATAACATATTTAAGAACAGAAAGGTTGTGGCACAGAAAGAATTCCAGCCAGGGAAGAGCAAAGTGAGAACATGGGAACAACAAAGTAGACACCAAGGTCAGTGCAGAAGGAGGGGGAGGAGTGCTCCAGGTGCCAGAGCTGAGGCCCCTGCAGC